ATTGTATGGCAGTTTCAATATTTAATAGATTCCAAAGCACATTATAGATCTGACGGGGAAAAATTTCAAAAAAGAATTATATACCTGGCTTATTTCAAAAATGTATTATTTAAAAAATGATTACATAAATGAAAAATAAAAAGTATGTTTTATAAAAATATTAGCTAGGTAATAGTTATAAGATTAGCACGCTCTTTGAGCAGGATATGTGATACTCTAACTATATGAACGCCATATTGTAAGCCATATCCTTGCAAATAAAGAATTCTATTATTAAAAAAAAATTACATTCTAATTTCATATCGCCGTTACTTTTAATATTCGAAAGATAGCTGACGCTTTTCATATTTGACCAAGTTGTATTCTCCCCAAATGTAACAATAAGAAAATATACATCTATTTTATTGCTTCGTCTGGAATTTCAATAAACGTGCTTTCTCAGTCTTTTTAGAGTTCCATACGAAAAGGGTAAAACGGGACCCTATGACTAAGACTCCACTGTCTGTCTGTCTGTCACCTGACTGTATTTCTTGAACCGTGACAGTTGAAATTTTCACAGATGATGTATTCCTGTTGCCACTATAACAACAAATACTAAAAAACAGAATAAAATTTTTTTAAATGGGGTTCTCATACGACAAACATGCTTTTTTTGCCGTTTTTATAGACAATGGCGCGCAACCCTTCGCGCGCGAGTCCGACTCGCACTTGACCGGTTTTTTGATCGTTAAGCGGATTTTTACATACGTCAGATCTCGAACCGAGCCCTGATTTAATAAAGGACTTCAATTCGCCTGAGATCATGATCTTGTGTTTCAAAGCCTTACAGACCGAACCTGACATTTATAATTAGACTAGCGATCCGCCCCAGCTTCGCACGGGTGCAATGTTTTATACGTATAAACCTTCCTCTTGAATCACTCTATCTAGTAAAAAAACCGCATCAAGATCCGTCGCGTAGTTTTAAAGATCTAAACATACATAGGGACAGACACACAGCGGGATGACTTTGTTTTATACTATGTAGTGATGATAATATGTATCTATTTTCGCGCGGTGAGAATGCCTACGCTTAGCTGGATAAATTTTGCGACGGTTTTATACATATTTTTATGTTTTTCATCTTAGCTGTTGCAATAATGGTCAGGTCCGTTGGGAAAGTAACGCAATATCACAGAAGACCGGCATGAAGTGGAAGTGTTAAATACTTCTGTGTTTCGTCTGATGAGTGAGGTAGTCGGGGCCTACTTTGTTAAAAGGTGGCAACTCATATGCGACCTTACAAGTATCGCATATGTACAGGGGAAGCGGTTAAAATGTTGAAAATAGTGTTATAACATATTTTTTAAAAGTTAAATCATGAACTTATTTCATTAAACAGCTGACAGGAGGTAGTTTACACTGAAATGAAACAACGTTTATAACTTGAAATAGAAGGAAACGATTTATTTAGTGATAAGTAGTAAACAGTAAATAGAATTTATCTCTCGTTTAGATATCTTAACATGCGCTCATCGGCCCAAGCGTAACTTCCATACATTTCGAACCTTTATAAATGAACAATGTTGTAAGTGAAAACAAATATACATAATTTTATATTAAAAAACACAATATACTCGATAACTTAACAATATATAATATAACTAAGTATGTTTTATGCAAAGCAAAGATTCACGAGTTTGTCTTACATGTTTGGACAAGAAACGATTGGAAAACCTTATTAAATCTATAAATTTTATTGGTATTTAAGGTATTGTTGGTCAGCAACAGGCCTTTCTGACAAAAAAAACTTAGATGAAAATTGAAATGATTATTTTATTACATAAAACACCTTACGACTCTATTTTATAACGAATTCTTGGATGAGACCATATTTACGGATTTTATCGCGCAATAACGTATGGTTGCGCGAGCAACTGGGGTTTGTTGTATCGTCCTAGGGAATTAACAACACATAATCCTGTAAAATTACAAGCTGTGTAATCCGTAAAAATGGTTCCATTCAACAAGAAGATCTCGGGTACACAAGATAAATTCAGCACTTTTTTGGGTCCCACGTGCGTTGACCCCAATTTCCCATTAAAGCTTGACCCAATCGTATAGAATAGCCTAAGACGTATTGCCTCTAAACATAGTAAGACATAGAATATGTAAACACAGTAACAAGTGTAGAGAAATATTTGCCAGTTATATTGCTGCATGAATTTTACGAACGCATCTCTTTTTTATAATAAGTTTATTCTGTTGCCAAATATCGAGTTGTCCTAACTTATCCAAGGTTTGAGAATGCGACAGTCAATTTTCTTTACTTCTATTTAGACTATTAGTGTTGAACGAATTCTGTTGAAATTTTGCATTGCAATTGATTGAGTTTATACTATATTTATACTTTGACTTTTTTTATTGCCCTTCGTATCGGGAGCGATACTCGCGACGAGTACAGTTCGTGCAGCAAGAAAACGATCAAATCATCTAATAGAAGATTCCATCTTAAATCAATACAATCTACAATGTCAAGATAATACAATCTGTATCTAGTTTCAAAAATATTAGATAAACTTCTTTAGCCCTAACATGGCATTAAAGACAACATGTATGTGAAAATGGAAAAATGAAAAAAGTTTATTAAGATATAGGTTTACAATTGTACATACTAATCCCCACACTAGGCGCAGCCTGTCCTTTCGGAGGGTAATTTGGCACATACATTACGTTGTGATTGGATGCAATAAATATTTCTATTTAAATAAATAATAAATAAATAAATATTTTAGGACACATTTTTACACAAAATTTTCTAGTCCCAAACTAAGCAACGCTTGTACAAACAACATTTGCACGAACAAGAACGAAATACATTTGATGAATGTATATTTAACGTTAATGATTCGAGAATAAGTAAAGAATTTATCGAAACCGACAAGATTGATAACTAATAATTTATGTCGAGAACAGATAAGCTCTTAGCCCTCCCGGCTATAAAGTATATACGAGTATGAACGAGTTTATAATGGGTTGTGTTTTGTGTGCTGTTGCAATTTGGTAAATAAATTGACAGTCTTGATATGTATGTGTGGGTTTAACTTACTTCCGTATGTTAATAATAAATCACTTATAATAACATAATTGACAGCCGAAAATCGGGGTTGACCCCATGGAAATCTTACTTGATATCATCTGTTTGAAAATGTTTTGAATCAATATTAAGAATGTATACAGAAAAATTCAAGTATGTAGACGCTAATTATTTTTTAGTTGTGCCATTTGCTTTACTTGAGGACGCTGAAAAATTTTTTTAAGTCGGTGCCGCAGTTCCGTCTATATTTCAATTTGAATATGTTTAATTAATTTATAAATAAATATGCTTAGCCATTTTTTCAGAAAACCTTTTGTAAGTTAACTATATATCTTATGTAAAAGCATATAGGGAATTATAACAACAAAATACGTTTAAATATGTGCATGAGGCATAATAAATGTGTAGCAATTAAGCATACTAAAGTTTTACTCTCATTACAATTAACATTAAATAGAAATATTTTTGTTTAATGTTGCTAAAACTAGCGTACAATCAAGCGTAGTCTAGGAAGAGTCCTTAAGAGAGCTTAACCTAAGTATTATATAAAATATTGCTACAGGATCTCGTAACATGACCTTTCATTGCAAATACTTCTATTACAATCAAAAGGCAACATGTGTATTTATTTCATAACAATGATTTTCTATAAATAAAAGAAGAGTTTTGGAGTTACGTTAAACACTAATTTCTAAGGAATATTATTATCAAGAGTTCAGAGCACTTACTGAATAAGTTATTTTTATCATGATATTTCTTGTATAAAATATGTACATAAAATGAGGCAACAAAGTATCTTTTTTAGCCTATCAACGCAATAATTATTAACAAAAAATATAAGATTTTAAAAACTGAACTAGATCAAATCTACAAACTTAAAAGTCTATCAAACAGTAACCAGATCGTGTATTCGACAAAGAATAAGGCATTTTATTGGCGATACCTTAAATTTCAATTTGCATAAATATATTTGTGTAAGTATATCAACTATTATCTGTGTAAGGATCTAGTCAATAATTTACTTTCTATAAACGAGTTAGTTTGCTTTGAGTGATATGGATATTGAGTGAAGTCTATATATGATTTATGTAATATGATTTTTCTGTACTTGATTTTCCTTGTTTTTCAATCTATATTAAAAGTTTCTTTTTACGTAAATTATTTTATTCCAACATTAAATAATCGAAAAGCCGTATACATTACAGACCCCATTGATTGACATAAGTATTTAAGCGATTTCGCCTCGTAATTTAACGTAAGAACGTGATATCAAATTATAAGTAATTTTTTAATACTTCGTACTAAAACTTCATAACATTATTAGAAATGCATTGCTTAGTGAAATTCATTAGATATAATATTATTCTTTCGATTAGGAGAAATAAGCGATATCGCAAAATCCACAACGTAAACAAACTCGTTGTGCTTTGCTAATCCAAATGCAAACTCTTTTAGTTAGCGTAGTAATTGTAGAGTTTCCGTAGCTACCGTACATCTGCGTAGCCACTCTACGGCTTTATATAGAAAAATGTAGAGTCTCCGAAGCTGGATAATCTTTGTCGTCAAAAATACGTGTGTTCAGCATTTTTGGGAATAATTACAGTAGCGTGCAGAAGAAAAATTTGACTATAATTTTAACAGCTATAACGGCAAAAGTTAGGGAGAATATCACTTCTGTGTATTACAAATGATAAAGACCTTTTAATAACCGATAGCTAGTAAGGTTATTAAGGCTGACTTGAACGTGTTAATTTCGTAGAGATTATAAACTTTATATAAGTATACATATTAACGCATTTCACTCGCATCCAGGTCCCAAGTAATTAAGATTAAAATTTAAGAATAAGATAACACAGCGTTTTAAGAGCAGAGGAATAATCCAATTTGATCCCTACGAGTACGTGTTAAGGTCCAATATCGTTCACCGCTTTTGGCCAGAGTCCTTTTGCGTGGAGGAAGACCTTTTGGTGCGGCGTTTCACCTTCCGCGGTGCCGCCTCTTCTGTCATCTGAAACAAGGTCCTTGTGTCAACTTATATCGTTGCTGAAAACGGAGATGGCTGGAAGGCGATTTTTGAGAATAGGGTCTTTTTTATGCTGTCGATGTTCCACTTACAAGAACAAAGCGATTCGCTTCGTCATTTATCATCCGTAAAGCTAAGGAATGAAATAATTCCTTGGTCTTTCCTTCCGACTATAACGTAGCCATCAACGGCTGCATCACTTGCCACCAGGGTGATGGCAGTCAAATGCTGGCCAGTTTAGAATTTAAAAAAAAATATTGCGAATGAGCTGGTGGTTCACCTGATGTTAAGTGACAGCCACCGCCCATTGATATTTGCAACACCCGTAGGATTTCAGATGCGTTGCCACCTTTCAATAAAGTGGGCCCCGGCTACCTCACTCACCAGACGAAACGCAGAAGTGTAACACTTCATCTTCACGCCGGTCTTATGTGAGGTTGTGCAACTTACCCGCACGCACCTGCCCATTCGTGCAACAGCGAACACTGTTGCATAGCTCTATCACTGTAGAATTCCTAAAGGGTCGAAAATCCGGATAGATCTCCCCACCCGAAGGGCCAGTTTTATATTTTGTATGGAAGGCGTTGGATAGTAAGTCGCAATGGCCACTGCGACTTAAAAGATCTATTAATAAGGGGCAGTTTATAGTGTGCGAGTACGTGGCCGAATGGTCACTTGGTAGAGAATTTAATTATTTTAAATAAATTTAATGGGGATTATCTGCTATAAATTTTTGGGCTAACTCATTGATTAAACTGGTGACCCGATTGGCGTAGTGGGCAGTGACCCTTCCTCTTGCGCCAGAGGGTGTGGGTTCGATCCCCACTACTGGAAGAATTATATATTATACATTATATTTATACATTTATATTATTTACTTATTTACAAAGAAAAGTATGTTTATCAGTTATCCAGTACCCATAGAACAAGTTTTTCTCAGTTTGGGACTAAAAAACGTTGTGTAAATGTCTGCCCGCGTCTACGTCTGCGTAGAATAGGCTGAAGGCGTAACGTTCAGACAGAAAGACAGATATACATAAAATATGTATATAAATTATAGACTATGTGTTATTCTGATGTATAAGCTATATCACTGTAAAGTTCCATTAAAATCAATTCAGTAGTATTTGCGTGAAAGAGGAACAAACATCCATCCATACATACAAACTTTCGCCTTTATGATATTGGTGAGGATTTATTATTATTTTTGAGACTTGCGTTATAACGCAATGTGTACATTAGTATAGTTAATATTTGATAATTGCTTACCGTAGCAGTGACGAGAGCGGCTCCAGAAGGAACTTCGTTAGGAATGTCGTCTACGGTAGAGCACGACGCCTGCGCTTCGTTGTCCCTTAAAATGTCACATTGTGTTAGAAACATAAAGAAACTTGTTTAAATAAATAATTTTTAATAAATACTTATATTTTATTTGTAAGCTATAGTCGTTTATTCATTTCTTATTTGAGTTCACTTTTCAATTTCTTTTTGGTATAAAAATTTGTAGAAAAAATCTATTTGGTAATCGAGACTGATTAAAAGATCTTACCTTTGTTAAATCAAACTGTTTTCGTTTTTATTAACATCAGGGACGTTAAAATCTTAGTTAATCTGGGCCACTATGAACTAATTAATAATTTATTTTGTCCCATCTTAAAATGGTTTTATTTATCAACTAGCGACATTGCACCCGTGCAATGCACATATAAACTTTCCTCTTGAATCACTAACTAGTAAAAAAAACGCATCAAGATCCGTTGCGTAGTTTTAATGATCTAAGCATACATAATATGGACAGACAGACAGCGGGAAGACTTTGTTTTATACTATGTAGTGATGTTAATAACAATTATAACATTATCCTCGGTTGTAAGGACGTTTCATAACCATAACACGCGGACAACGCAAAAATCCGAAACGATTAATCTGTGGGTTAGACAAATAATGTTTCGTATGAGAATCGAACCCACGACCTCCGGCGCCAAAGCCAACTGGGACAGCTATACATTTCAAATGTTTAACTGAATAAATCCGTTAAATGAATTTTTTTATTGTCTTTTTTATTTGATGTTATAGCCGCAACAGAAACACATCATCGGTGTAAATTTCAACCTGGTGACAGACGGACAGGCAGCGGAATCTTAGTAATCAGCTCCCGTTTCACCCTTTGGGTACGGAACCCTAAAAACCGAGTACGATGAGCGAGATTGGAGCATCCGGTAGAGCAAGTGTGGACATACCTGCGCAGGTCGGGGGGCGCGCATCACAACACCGTGTCGAGGGTGTCCAGCGAGTGCAGCAAAGCCGGATCGCGCGTCATCCACCGCGCCAACTCCTCGGGGGTCACTGACCCGTCCGCGTCCACGTCCATTAGCTGCACGAGTACATCAAGGTTCATTTGGCATCCGGTAACTTGCCGTTTTAGACGACCGACGTGACGTCGAAGTATTTATTGCACTTTTGCTTTTATTCTGGTGAATGAGGTAGTCGCGGGGTGCTCTATTACAGACTTTTAAGTCCATAGCAAGTGGGACTCATGAGGTGTGTCTTGGTTCTCAAACAAAATCTATCCTATAAACTCTGACTGCAGCTATAAGCCAAACGCACGTATAGAAACATTAAAGCCAATTACTGCATCGTCAAAATACTTCGCTCTTAAAACAGTACAGATTTATTTGAATTTGGTAAGTACAAATGTATCATTTCTCTCACTTTACCAGAGATAACAAAACCTATAATGTAATTGTGGTAGGGCCACGTATCAGCTTCGGCTGTTGCACGAATGGGCAGATCCATCTCGGTAAGTACCATGACTGCATGTCGTCAGGTGAGTGAGGTAACCGTGGCCCACTTAAATGGTGGCAACGCATCTGCAACCCTACGGATGTTGTTAACAATGGGCGGTGGTTATCACTTATTATTCGGTGAACTGCCAGCTCTCTTGCCACCTTCTCGCATAAAAAAGCTCCCTGTCTATATATCGTGAACGAGGGTGGCACATTAGATAAAAACATCTTATAAAAGAAGAAAAATAAAAAGTTTCTTTGCTGCACATGGAAGGTGGTAAAACTCTGAAGAAAGACGAAAAGAGTTCGATAGTAATAGAAGATAGTATAACCAATATTCGAAAGGAGGCATATGCTCAGGCAACGCACATGGAAGATTCTGTGCAAGGGTCCTTTGCAGAGGTGGGATTGACGTTGCTTCGCTGCACATGGAACCCCTAATTAAATTCGATAACAGCCAGATGCTTAGACCACGCACATGGAAGATCCTGTCCACGTGGTCCTTAGCAGAGGTGGGGTTGACGGGTGGCACGGCCGCCCTGCCCAGCAGCTCGTACACCGCCTGCACCACCGCCACCATCTCCGACCTGGAGATGCGCCCATCCCCGTCCACGTCGTAGAGCGCGAACACCCAGGAGAGCTTCTCTTGGACCGACCCCCGCGCCACGCGCGATAGGGTCTCCAGGAACTCCTGAGGGAAGGGCAGCATTGACGTCTGAGGGTCGCAGGAGTCTTTACTCTCAACCCGATGGTTTAATTAACTAATAATATTTAGGCTTTTTACAAAATGGATGACAAAACAAAAGATTAAACGGTTGATCTGGTTTTAGAGTTCTTTTAAATAAATACCGCTGCTGTATGTAAAGAAAATTAAAGTAATAGCCAATACAAATGTCCCACTGCTGGGCAAAGACAAGGCTGGTCTTCTGTACAAAGGGTATTAGGGCATAGTCCACCACGCGGCCCCACTGCAGATTGGTGGATCTTCGCAATGTTTTTTTTTTACATTATTTCGAAAATATGGAGGTTTTCCTCCTCTGTTGAGCACGTAAGAATTCAGCACTTAAAATTAACAAATTCCTTGGTGCGGCACCGGGGATTGAACTCGGGGCGCTTGAGTATATTAAGCGTCAGCGTCAGGACACTAAGCTGTCTCAGCTCTTCGTTGAAGCTAGCACGAGCTTCAGTTCCGACGTTAGTCGAGCCATAATCCGTCACCAGCAGTGTTAAAAGATCCCTGGAGTACTAGTGTACTTACAGATACACAAAAAGATATTTAAGTTTTAGTTCTTTTTTTTCACAACGTTAGTGCCAAACTAAGTAAGCTTGTATTATAGTAGGTAGCTGATAAACATAATTTCTTTTGTAAATAAATAGATATTTTGAAATAATTCTGCAACATTGAATGAATGAATATTTATTAAGTTTCAACAATCTCAGTTATGTTAACAATTAAAAGAATATATATCTAAGTCATGATACCAAATAGGTATGTACTCGGTAAGATTTACAGATTTTCAGTACATACCAAAAATTTAAATTATAACACACGGTTACGGTGGTAGGGCCACGCAGCAGCCCCGGCTGTTGCACGAATGGGCAGGCTCGTCCGGGTAACTACCACGACCGCACAGAAGACCGTCGTAAACTGGAAGTATAATACTTTCGCGTTTCGTCTGGTGAGTGAGGTGACCGGAGCCCAATTCTCAACGCATCTGTAACCTTCGGGTGTAACATATGTCCATGGGCGGCGGTATTCACTTAACATCAGGTGAACCGTCTGCTCGGTTAGCAACTTTTCACATAAAAAAAATCGTGAATTCAAATCCAGGAATCTTAATTACGCGTATATTGCATTGTTCAAACATGGGTGTTTGATTTTCTTATAAAACGATGTAATTGATCCTAGCCTATTTTAAATAGTGTCGATTTTTGGTTAGTTAGGAGGAATATTCGATGTAAACAATTCTCAACGCATCTGTAACCTTCGGGTGTAACATATGTCCATGGGCGGCGGTATTCACTTAACATCAGGTGAACCGTCTGCTCGTTTGGCAATTTTCCACATAAAAAAACATTTACTATCAATTACACCATACGAGTCGTTCATGTGTATATGAAGTCCATTGTACAAATCCTCAAACCGCCAATTAACATCGACACCACCTTGATGTTTGCAAATGTCTATGGGCGGCGGTGATAGCTTACCATCAGGTCCCGTACTATTCAGCTGATCGCTTGCTCGTTTCTCTCCTGTTTCAATTTAAAAAAACCTGTTATTAGCGTCGTTACTCACCTCAAAGTTCAATTTGCCCCTTTGCTTGTGTTTCACCGCATTGAACACGTAATGCGCGTACTGTGTTGCATCTGATGGCATACGGAATAATTTAAAACAAAGTTTAAATTGACAAAAGGAAATTAAAATTGAAAAAAAATTCCATTCAATAGTTTTTATTTCAAAACAATTTTAACAATAAAGGCTGTTCAGTAACGCCATCTCTTGGCGGCGGGACGACAACTGTCGAAGACTAGTGTTTTATTCCGATTATGCTTAGACAATGGGTACAAAGGCCATACGGCCAAGGTTATATGGTATTGGAGCTAATCATCTATTTTTATTTTTATATTGTAATTAAAAAGTTACTACATTTCATAGGATAAGTAATTCGTTTATGGGGCGGTTTATACGTTTCTACAACCAAATACATAACCACAGTTAAGTAATGCGCAAAGCTTATCTATTAACAGGTTTAAGAAGTTTTTTAAAGAAATACATTTTAATCAGCTTTATTATAACATAAATGATCATTTTGGGAGTTAGACTATTGCTCCCAATTATTTTTTAACAAAAATAAATATATTATACTCAGCAATATGAGGAAAAAAAGGACACGGAGTGTCTCTGGCCTCTTTTTTCTCCGTTAGAGGAGTTTAATTAAGACATGTAGATTTAAAAAATTACTGTGAAATGTATGCTGCTTATTTCGATGAATAAATGATTTGATTTGATTTAAGTGTAAGTTGTCATTGCAAAAGCAAAACTCAACGCCAAAGATACTGCAAACATTTATGCAGGCCAAAAAGTCTCGAGCTCGAAAACTTTGACGTTCAAAACCACGAAAGCTCGTAACGCTATAGTATTTGGCTTTGTGAAGTTGTGCTTTACACTAAGTTTGGAGACGAGAATCTCAAGTTATATCAGCGAGTAGCTTAATTACGCTCCCTGAAATTGTGTTCGGCGAAGCGACATTGCTGTTAAGTATAATGCGGAGTAATTAATTTAATGAATTTATCTCGTGAATTCTTTCTGTCATCCATCTACCCAACGTCCATAAGCCACTGAAGCATTCCTTCTACTCTTCCAAATATATCCCAATAGACATCATTAACATCAGAACGGTTGAAGAGCCAAGTGCGAGACTGACTAGCGCAGAAGGGTTCCGTACTGTTATTTATAAAAAACGGCAAGAAAATCATATCTGCTGTATGGGAGCCCCGATTAATATTTTTTTATTATGTTTTTTAGTTGTTTGTTTTGACAGCGGCAACAAAAACACATCATCTGTGAAATTCAACTGTCTATCACGGTTCACGAGATACAGCCTTGTGACAGACGGACAGACAGAAGACAGACTGAAAGAGGAGTCTTAGTAATAGGGTGCCGGTTTACCCTTTGGGTACGGAACCCTAAAAACTGGGTCCCGGTCACCACACTCACCAGACGAAATGCGAAAGTATAACAATTCCACTTCTCGCTGGTCTTCTGTGATGTCGTGATACTCACAGAAGACCAGCGTAAAGTGGAAGTATAATACTTTCGCGTTCCGTCTGGTTAGTGAGGTAGCCGGAGCCCAATTCTCAAAAGGTTGTCAACGCATCTGCAAACCCTCCGGTGTAGCAGATGTCCATGGGCGGTGGTATTCACTTAACATCAGGTGAACCACCTGCAGAACGGCTTGGCAAATTTTCACATAAAAAAATAAAACTTCCCCGGAAAAGTCTGCCCATTCCTGTAACATTACTAGCTGTCGGATTGCCCTACCACAGCATTTCATATCAGAATCAATGAAGATACATCCCTCGATCCCAGCGCACGTAATGCGAGCAAAATATCTTATCTTTTAAACGAGCAATTCTTGTACATATATGAATATCAGGGGATGAAAAATATCATTCGAATATGACAGTAAATTTCGCCGCAAAAAAAATATTATAATAGCTCGGTCGGTAATCGGGCGGCCCCAAAACAGACGGGCGCGGTTCGTATCACGATCACACACTTATTTCTTTTACTTTTTTTTCTATACTAGATTATTGCTTTCTTTATTTTTTTTTCTTTCCAAAATACATGATTTACCAAAAGAAAAGTCGGTCCTCCAGGTACTAACCATTATAAATGCACACGCGTGCTCAAACAACCTTGGACCACAGTAAGTCAGCAGAATTCTAATGACAATTGTATCAAATCGCTAATGGGATTTAATTGCACGCAACTCGCAACAGTGCGGATGTTCATGCATCAACTTATATTTAAACGATGACTCCGTGACGCAGTTGCCAAGGCATTGGGCTTCGGCGTCGGGGGTCGTGGGTTTGATCCCCACACGGGAAAACCATTTGTGTGACCCAAAGATAGTTGTTTCACATCTGGACGTTTGTCCACGTGAAATTTGTGTTTGTAAAACATCCTTACAACACAGATAATGTTATCCTAAAGTAACGGCAACGTTTTTTTAGAAAAAAAAATATTATACACTCTGATGGCCAAAGGGATCGCAATATAACTTGTACTACCCTTTAGGTTTATCCTCCATAAATTGTTCTACGTAAATTTAAATAAAATAAACATAAAGATGTTTCATGGCACACCCCAGTTGGACTGAGGTCCCTTTCGCTGTATTAAATATTTAATTAGCATTTAAGAGTAACTAGAGATCTTCACTCAGAGATCTTTTCAAAGAGGTTAATATACTCACTGTTGCTTCTCAATACATTTATTGTAATATTTTGTATATACGTCATAACCTTAATTATTACCTAAATAATAGTGACAGGCATAAAATAAACACTAGAAATAACTACAAACTTACTACACCATTGTTTCGTCTACAAAAAGTAAATAGGTCGTTCATGGGGCAAAGTGTGCGCATGTATAATAAAATCCCACAGTCGATATTAAGTCTGCCGCTTGACCAATTTAAATGTAAAATTAAAAATCAACTAATGATTAAAGCATATTATACCATTTCGGAATATCTCGACGACGCCAATATGTGGAGTTAATACTGTTGATACTCACGTAGGCTAGAATAAGACTAATATACCTGTATATTACATTGTACCCTGATACTTTTGAAAAAGAGCAACTGTTCAGTTTCTTGCCGGTCTCTTCTCAACAGAAACTGCTTTCCGAACCGGTGGTACCTTACGAACCTATATACATAATCTTTGATGTAAAATTTGACGATTCATAAGAGCGCGCAAGCGTCTAAGTATTTGAATAAATATATTTTTGATTGATTTTGATTTGACTAAATGATAAACATAAAAATCTATACAAATAAATAAAATTATTCTGTTCTGTTTGCAATATTGAAATAACAGTTTTTTACTAAATCCATGTGGATGTGTATTTCGGTATAAAAAATGTTATTTCGGTATATGTACCGTACTTATATAATAACGAGTAACTTAGGCTACTTTTACCATAGAAATTTTAATTATTTTAAATTCTACGCGAAAGAAAGTCGCGGGCACAGCTGGTTATAAATATAAATAAAGGATTGTTACTAAAAATTATATTTCATTAAAAAGAAACTTTTCCTATTGTTATGTCAGTTTGCGCGTGTTAGCAAAAGAAAGAACGAGTTATTTATAATGAAACGAGAAACGGGGCATAATTATAACGCTTTTTCCTTACGTGACGATCTCCACCAACTCGCACCGTTTGCGAGTCGCGTTAAGGAAATTCTTTTCAATCTTCAGCTCAAAATGAAACATCGGAATGAATTCATTTAAAAGAGTTTTTCACGGTGGCAGGCTCGTCCGGGTAAGTACCACGACCTCACAGAAGACCGGCGTAAAATGGAAGTATAATACTTTCGCGTTTCGTCTGGTGAGTGAAATGGCCGAAGCCCAATCTTCAAAAGGTTGTCAACGCATCAGGGAGCCTCGGGTGTAGCACATGTCCATGGGCGGCGGTATTCACTTATCATCGTCTGCTCGCTTGGCAACTTTTCACATAAAAAAAGAGTTTGATATTTTAAAAACTGTCACATCTTTTACTCGCTGAATAGGGTCAACTGGTGTTCCAAGTGTCAATAGTTCAGTCTCAAACGTTACAGGGCCTACGAGCCTATCGCTTAATAGGTTGGCAAATGTCATTTTCATTTTAGGGACAAGCCGTAAAACAGGAGGCTCTTATTGAATATGAAAAAGTTACCACCTGTTGACTAAACTAGACCTCTCCAGAGAAGAACCGGGGAGAAACTCTGTGGTCTTATAGTCTTTTTTTATTATATAAGTAAAAGTAAAAGTAAAGTATCAGCCTATACATGTCCCACTGCTGGGCAAAGGCCTCCTCTATACAGAGGGTATCAGAGTATAGTCCACCACGCGGCCCCACTGCATATTGGCGGACTTCACATATCTTCGAAATTTATTTTTTGATTTTTGTTATTATTTCGAAAATATGCAGGTTTCCTCACCTCACGATGTTTTTCTTCATCGCGGAGCACGTGATAAGTCAGGACTTAAAGTTAAAAACTTCATTGGTGCCGGCACCAGGGATCGAACTCAGGTTGCTCGAGTATATTGAATTAAAGGCGAGCGCCCGGACACTGAGCTATCACGGCTCTTTTTTAATTATATAAATATAGAAAATTATTAAATTATAAAATCAGCAGGAGCCAGGGGACTAGCAAAGCAAGAGTCATTGCCACACGTCCTTGTCCCCAATGTATTCTTTATTATAACTAATTTCCCTTTCCATATTAAGGTAGCTTTTACAAAATGTTTGAAATTTTTCACATTTAGTTGCTTGTGGGTGCCATCAATTTCATTATATAATACATACATACAACCATTTCATACAAGTAGCATTTCATTCAAATCTTAAAACCTGAGACGACGATTACTAAGCCATCACTGCCCATAGTTAGGATAGCATTAAGTTAAATTAAATTAAATTGTCATTTGCCCTCAGAAAAGAATTATCGGCTTTCGAGTCTTGACAGTGGAACGAACATTCAAAGCCTTATCTAATATCTACGCCATTAGAATTTGCAAATCTTTAGATTACGAAATACGGTCGTTAAGTTTTAAGTGAGGATTTGGGAGACGACAGATAAGGGTGTGGAATAGCGAATTTGCAATTTCCTAATAATGAATAAATCTAACAAACTGTTATTGTTTTAATCATCAAAATGTGCAAACACATTTATGATATTTTTAGAGTAAACTACAACTAAAATTGTAAACGTGTTTGAATGTTAGTATTCTTTACCAATTTTTTTCAATTTGATAACTTATTATCTTTTTTTTTAATTGTAATTTCATCTATACTTATACACGGATGTTTTACTTTATCTTAAGTTTTGTCTTCCTTGTCCCACAACAGTACTCGTACATAAATATTAGTACACTATTTATCACGTACATAAAAAGTTCATATTTCTTTGACTTTATATTCAATAGCTAAACTTAGTGTCGGAAAAAAATGTATATTTGTGCTTATTGTATGCGTATTCATATTTAGTTATCATTTATAGATAGTTTAGAAACAAATCTTATATTAGAATTACATAATTAAAATTACATAGAACATAACATTTCTATTTGGCAATCATTTGTCTACCCTTAGATACTATACATTCATATATTATATAGAATTAAAATATATTTGCTAATTTATTAGGTCAAATCATTCGTCGTCACTATATTCGACTCCGTACACATTATAGTCCCTGTAGCAGGACCTTGCAACGCAATTGAATTCATTAAGCAACTAAAATTTCTCAACAAAAGGTCGCTTACCTCCTAGAGGGAAGAACTGGCAGAATATGTTCTTGAAAGACTCCTCATCCACCATGCCCGTCGGACATTCCTGGCAAGAAAGCAATACAATATGACAAGGAAGAAAATAATTTCTTTATATAATACGTGATAGGGTATATTCGTTATCTATACAGATAAATAATGTATACAGATAAAAAAAATTGGAGTGTCAGTTTGTAATATTAAAATAACCGCTTTTTACTAAATGCATGTATACGTGGTACATATACCAAAATATGTTTTTTACAATTTTTTGTCTTTCTGTCTGTTTGTTCCGGCTAATCTCTGAAACGGCTGGACCAATTTGGACTGGTCTTATAGCTATTCACTGACAGATAGCTGATGTATTAAGGAGTATGTTAGGCTACTTTCATTTCAGATTTTTTTTATTTTAATTTCTACGCGGACGAAGTCGCAGGCACAGCTAGTATATAATACATATATTCATTTAGTTTATTTAGGTGTTAGTATGTAAGTTTATCCACCATAATGATCTTCTTAGTGATCAGAATGATCAATTCAAAGAGTTAAACCATCCTTTTAGCAACTCAAATGCCATTTGGAAGCGGATTAGTTTACTTCTACGACGATCAGTCTTTCAGAAATCGGAAATTTCAGGAAAGTCTCATCCTTAATTTCCTCCACGGAGTGCCCATGAGTTGGTTGGTTCCTTGTGAGTTGGTCACTCCGCGGAGTGCCTATGAGTTCCTTATGAGTTCCTCATGAGTCGGTCACCTGTTTGAAGCCCCGGTACATGAGCTTGATCTCGTGGGGCGTGAAGCGGGAGGCGCGCGCGAGCGTGTCCGGGGGCTCGGGCCTGTATCGCACCGGGATTGTGGTGCTCTCTTCGCAGTCCTCCTCTGGAAGAAGAGAAAAAATCTACATTTGTTCGGTAAGAGTCGAGGACGCTGTTCAAATCTATTACAGTACAAGGGAAAAGTAACAGCCTATACATGTCCTACTGCCGGGAAAGCCCTCTATTATAGTACTCTATTATAGTACAGCCTATACATGTCCTACTGCCGGGAAAGCCCTCTATTATAGTACTCTATTATAGTACAACTAGCGGGTACAAGACGATAGGCTAGGTTGTACCAGTTCAGGCAAAAATAAGAAATAAATTCCTTGTTACATATTTAAGTGACAATGGAGACACCTTTGAAAATGTAGAATATCAATACCACAGATCACATATTTGGGTACTGTGATCACAAATTTCCCGATTTTGTTTTGTTTTCTTTTTTAATGTAATCCTGAATGACTATACTTTTGACTGCAGTTATCCCCCTGCTGGGCAAAGACCTCTTCTGTACAAAGGGTATCAGGGCATACTGGCATACTCTGTTACGTCACGGCTACTATAGTGCAAGGAAACTGAGATACAATGGCTCAAGTTAGTGCACATACTAAAACGTAAAATTGTTTTTTTTACTGATGACTTAATTAAAGGTAAGTAAATATAAATATAAATACATAAAAGGAGTAAGAGAACAAACACCACTGCTGTGCAAATCTGCTGTGGATTGGCACATGCATATATACGAAATATTTCTTAAAATCATTTTTATATGTTCCCTTACGATGATTTAGTGTTCGTAAGTGTTCAATCAGCACATTAAATTGCATTAATTGCAGCATTAAATTGCAATTAACCAATTCATTGAAGTAAGTGTCAGCACATTGCCACTAACCAATTGATTGGTGCCGTCAGGAATTTTAACTAGGGGTACTAGAGTATACTTAATTAATAAAAAGCGCACCCGGAAATGAGGTACCGTGGCTCAAAATAGTAACTGTAAAACCATAATAGTAATGATTTAACGCTGTTAGTAAACGTTCATACTCTGCGATAAATTTAAACAAATACAAAAAATTGTATAATAAATACATTAATTGGACATCCTGCTCAAAGGAGTAAGGAACTGGTCAGATGTATTAAAGTCATTAATAGTTATTTTCTATAATTTTGTTTTGAGCGGGTTTAAGATCAGCACTGTGATATAAAACTATGATCATCTCCCATGTACTAATTACCTCATAATTCTTGTAAAACATTTTAATCGCTAGGGTTATATTCTTTCTGGTATAGTAATAAAATTTATTGAATAATTATTAAATATTTAGGACATCACAGCAATCTAGTACCCAAAGTACTTTGGGTACTATATTGCTCTCTAAAAATGTTTATTTTGTAAAATTTAATAACTCGGTAAATATTGATGTTTAAAAAATGTATATGTTTAATACAATTTCAAAAAGTTATCCTCTATACGTGTGTCCATTTATTGTCGCGGTTGTAACGACACGTTGCATATAATATAGCGATAAATGAAAAAAGTACAGTATTCTTTTAATGATAATCACTCACCCATTTTACTCGCCGGCTCCCTCGAAAGCTCACTCGGATGTCAACACAGAGTTCACTCGTCGCTTTCACTACAAACGACCCGACTAAGTTCTTTACATGAGTTCAGTTCAATAAACTGAATTAAGTTCAACTGTGTTCGTTACAATAAACTGAAATGACTAAATTAAATCAATTTAAGTTTTAAGTTTTCTTATAGACCTAATATAATATCTGTTACTTAAATAAATTTTAATCAAAATTTTATTTTATATTGGAATAAGAGGCACCAGGGATCGAACTCAGGTTGCTCGAGTATATTGAATTAAAGGCGAGCGCCCGGACACTGAGCTATCACGGCTCTTGTATGTGCTATTTTGTTAAATAAACGCATTTATCTTTATATAATGTTTTTTGGGAATTTAATTTATATACATCGGATCGTTACATATAAGTTAACTGCTGTTTTTAATAACTATTTTTTAGATTAAAAAATATGTATCTTAGTAATCGTGCGGCTAAGTAACTCAAAATGAGTTTCCGTAAATAAAAATCATACGGCACAATGATTCTAATGAACCTTCTAATGCAAACGTATGAGCTTTAGAATAGTTTATTCCTAAACTAATTTCATTAGTTCAAAACTATCGAGCGAGATAGAAAATAGACGGAAATCATATCTTAGGTCAGCAACTCGTCCCAAACCCCAAAAAAATGCATGAAACTAAACAACGTGGTAGACTCGTTTTAAATTATTTCGGAACTCTTTGCTGTACTCGGATTTTTTTCTATTGCATATTACAAACGATAAAGTACAAGTACTACATTGAGAAAACTGTATAGTTAAAGAAGTGTGGAAAAGTTCACACATAATTAAAATTGTTTGTCTACAACGAAATGTAGCCGTCTAGAAAAACGTTGAAAGAAAGAAAGAGATTTTTTTGACATAAAACAGACTTGACACAGCATCCGCAGTTCCATTAGGGTTCCGTACCCAAAGGGCAAAATAGGACTCTATTACTAAGACTCCGCTGTCTGTCTGTCCGTCTGTCACCGGGCTGTATCTCATGAACCATGAGAGTTAGACATTTGTAATTTTTACGGATGATATATTTTTCTGGCAACAGAAATCTGGCTATAACAAAAAATACTAAAAGACAGAATATTTTTTTTAAATGGGACACCCATACAACAGACGACATTTTTGCTGTTTTTATAGATAATTGTAGGGAACCCTTTGTGCGCGAGTCCTTCTCGCACTTGCCCCATTTTCTATGTCATATAACCAGCGATAAAGTACATTAAGTACATTTTAAATAAAAAAAAATACTGTAAAATTTCATACATATTTAAAGGTGTTGTCCACAAGGAATTGTATCATTCTAGAAAACCAGAAAAACGTTATTCAACCATCCAATACCGCCGAATGAGATTTCTCCTCACAATATCATTGGCAGTTGGACATGCCGCCAGAACAAATATAGCCTATCGATCACAGCCTATAAATATGGAGACTATGTAGCCGTAGCTGTTGACTTACATCGACTGTCTGCGGTGCGGAGTTTATTTATTTAATTTTTCACACCAGCACCAAAAAATAATATAAGAGTTATAAAAATGAGAGGTAAAAGAACAAACTAAAAGAGCAAACTTCAGAAAAAATCGTGTTGGCTATTTTAACTTGGCCGTTACATTTTTGATGAGTCTATCACTGCAGATAAGAATTACATGAGGAATTTGGACTAATTTAATAACGTCTCAACAAAATAAAGGTCTGTTGTCACTTTTGAAAATTACTCTATTCGCTGATTAAGCCTTTATGAAGGAGACCCTTCTATATCTAACAGGTACTAAGAAAGAACTTTGACACTTCTATCACTCAAAATTTTCCTCACAACTGATGAATTAATGATTATTTAAATGACAACACTGAAACCCTGCGACTATTGCAAATGTCAACGAGCGGTGGTTATCACTTAACATCAGGTTAAACGCGATTGCCACCTTCTCACCTAAAAAAATAAGTAACCTAGTCTTCACCTTCCCAGGGGAGCTAGAATGACCAAAACTCAATCATTACCCAATACTCAAAGTAATGGAAAGGGCTATCGTGCGGTTATTGGCGATGCGGAGTTCGCAATAAAAGCTCCGGGGCCGTAAAGCTCTACGAAGCTTCGGCCAGAGATGGTTTTTGGAACGATGTCAAGATAGTTTACAGGATGGCTGATGTTATGAGGTTGTGAATATTTAAATTATAGCGCGGTGTAGCGTGGACTGTGTGTAATAAGATATCTGATTACATTAAGGATTTCGCATGTCTTGAAAGCCTATATATGTCCCATTGCTGGACTTATACCCAGCAATATATATAATATGTTCAATAGAACATACATATAAAATTTCATCAAAATCGGCCATCCGTTTCGGAGAAGTGTGAACACTATAACAATTAAACAACAATTTTAAATATAAGATAATACATAAAGGCCCATGCAAACGGTTTCCTTTTCATTATTATTATTTCCTTACACATTCTAGCCAAAGAAATAATGTAATATATTTTTTACAAGTAATCCTTTCTACACATTCTTACCAAAGCTCTCAACAACACGAATAATCCTTTCATCTCAAAAAACGCATATCACTGGCAATTTATTCTACAGGATTACCTTTCTTTGCGTGAAAGTCATTTCCATTTATTTTCCATTACACAATGCCAGAGCCCATACGTTTTGGACTCGTAAACACTCACAGGATACGGCCGAGTGTTGCCAGAGCTTTGCTAAATTAACTTAACTCGCATTACTTAGCTTTTAATTCCACTTACCATCTCATCTACCTAAAAGCTTGAGCAACGAGCCCAAGATATATACAACCTCCAATACACTTAACAATGGCTTCGCTTAGCTAATAATACTTACTAGATTAATATTGTTCAAACTTATAACCAATTTAAATTATAAGTTTGAACAATATTAATCTATTCCCAAATACAATTTATATACATAAAAATTAATCTTGGTCACGTCATCACGCGTGAACGGCTGGACCGATTTCACTTTCTTTTTGTTGTGTTTGTTATTATCAGGAGAAAATCTTAAGAAAGAAAACATTTAAAAAATTGCCTGTAAAAGCCTGAAATTGCCTGAAATTGCCTTAAAACTACATAACGGATCTTGATGTGGTTTTTTTACTAGATAGAGTGATTCAAGAGGAAGGTTCATATGTATAATACATTGCACCCGTGCGAATCCGGGGAGGGTTGCTAGTACACAACAAACAAATGAGAATACAGCGTGTCGTTACCATCGCGACAATAAATGAGCACACGTCTAACGCTACTTGCCAATAATCATAAAAAAATATTAACGTTAAACAAAATCTATTATTAAAAAAAATATATTTTTTAAACAAACTAATTAAGTAAAAAAGAAAGAAAATTTGTAACATCCTATACAACTAGCGCCACAGCGTCGTATTACAAGCCTCTCCTTCTAACAGTATGTTTTGTCTCTTTTAAATTCATTCAACCCATTCATATGCTTTGTGACCTTTACAAATGAACTTTACGTTACGCTTTTATAGGTAAGGGTGTTCTAAAATTCTTTGTTTTGGAAAATTTCATAACTCTATAAATATTGATGTTTAAAGAATTTAAATGTTTAATACAACTTTAAAAAGTTATCCCCTATATGTGTGATCATTTATTGTCGCGATGGTAACGACATACTGTATATGCGTGCGTGCATCAAATACATGGTAGTGTGTGTAATGTTTTCTATATTGATTTAATGTCTTTTTATGCATAATTAAAAAAATATTAGCATTCTTAACTTCTTCTCTATACTCCTCCGTCCGCGCAATTTTCCTAAAAAGGGGTACAAAGTTTCTTTCGCGTATTAATATACAGATGGTATTAATATGTATTCCGGAAATGGATCGACCGAGATAAAACTTCACTAATAGGAATCAGTGAGATAGCCCATTACTGGTCAAGCGCACAAGATGCTTTTACCTACCTATATGTAAAAAATGGTAAAATATAAAAAACAACAGTTTAAAAAACCTTTCTCTCTTTCTCTCTCTCGCAAAATGGAAACACACCATCAAAAATTCTCAGTAAAACTTTAACATGTTAGACATAAGGACTGTAAAGTAGCACACATGTACTATACATGTCCTACTGTGGGGCAAAGGCCTCCTCTTTACAGTGAGTATTAAGGCGTATTAGGGCATCCACCACACGGCCCCACTGCGGATTGGCAGAATTCGCATATATTCGAAATGTTTTTTTGTTATTATTTCGAAAATATACAGGCTTCCTCACGATGTTTTCTTCACCGCTGAGCAAGTGATAATTCAGCACTTAAAATTAACAATTTCATTGGTGCCGGCACCGGGGATCGAACTCAGGTTGCTCGAGTATATTTAATTAAAGGCGAGCGCCCGGACACTGAGCTATCACGGCTCACAGCTGTAAGTTATAACAAAATCGAAATTAAACTATGATAGGTCCTTCCGTCCGGGTAAATACCACAAGCTCACAGAAGACGGGCGTGGAAGTTTTACTTCTGCGTTTTGTGAGTGAGGTAGCCGGAGCACACTTCATTAAAATATAGCAATGCATATGCAACCATAAAAGTGTTGCAAATGTCAATGAGCGGCGGTTCTCACTTAACATCAGGTGAACCGTGAGCTCGTTTGCCACCTTCTCACATAAAGAAAAACTTAATCAAAAACAGCGCAAAGCTTTTATATATTTATTTATTATTAAGGTTCACCAACATTGGACACATTAAACATGCAAAACAATTATAAAAGTAAAAAAAAAAATAATAAGTCGTAAATGTTCCAACAATTACAGGTGGACACAGCTTTCTCAACATAAACTTATACCCTAATTTCTTTATATTAAAGCTTTTACATTTATGATAATAATGCAACTTGGCAAGTTTACTTTCAAAGAGCCCACCTGTTTCGATAAGCGAGCATCGCTACAATCCGTCGAGCAGTTGGACATCGGCCAAG